GTTATTTTAGAGAAGTAGGTGGGAAAAGTGTTTCTCAGCTGACGTAAAAAAAAAAAGAAAAAAAAAAAAGATTTTTTTGTACCGGAGTCATTGGGGGAAAAAAAGCTTATGGTGATGCTTGTCTGTTGTTTATGTTTGCCTAATCTAGAATAATTTAATATAAAGAAAACAATTATTTCACTTTCAAAACATTTCTCAAAGGCTGGGCTAATTTGAAGTAATTTAGCATAGCTTTCTCATGGCCAGCAGGGGGCATCATTTTCTTAAGAAATTTTTTTTCTTTAACATATTTGTTGTTCTATTTGCTATTTGAACTTTACTTCAGAGCATGTAGGTATTTAAACATTCTGATACCACATAGTGTAAACGTCAAGGTGTACTTTTCAGAACAACATGATGTATTTTTAAGCATCAGGCCTACAGTGAGCTCATGTCTTCTGGGAGCGAGGTTTTGCTGTTTACAGATTGACTCTTTTTTTGTAAACATTTTCTAAACAGTTTTGTCAAATTATTACCATGCATTATTGTATTTTTTGTTTCCTCCTGTTCAAAGAGAGGTGTTACTTTCTACCATTACCATATACTTGTTCAGGATGAGCGATTGCTGCAACATTAACAATTATGGATCTGTTCAATTTAATCTACCTTGATGAGGTCCTTCAAGGGTCATCAAAATAAGAAGGCTGTAAGAGTTTGGCTGTGAATAAGAACAGGTCAAGCATTCTGCTGGCTTCACCGTCCCTTACTCAGCGTCTCTCTGTCGCCTAGCAACCGTGATTGTTGACACACAAAGTAGGCAAAGAATGGTGCCGAATCCTCTTGAGTCTGCTAATTTCCTCAGAAGCAGTACTGTTGTTGCAGATATCAGATTTGTAGTCCCCACACTGCACAGATATAAATAGAATAGAATAGAATAGAATAGAAAATCCCTTTATTGTCCCACAAAGGGGAAATTGTGGTCTTGCAGGACCAAAAGCATTACGGCAAAATTAAACATGTATAGAAATAATAGAATAAGTGACAGAGTTTAGAAATAAATAAAATAAAATACTGTACTCTACTTTTACAAATATAAACACTATGCAGTCACCCGAAGAATGTCACCCATTTAATGTCACCTAAACCCAATTTACACAGGGACAGATAAAACCTTTCTCAATAAACCAAACATTACCCACCACATATCGGACTCATTAACAGTTAAAATAACCATTTCCATGATTATAAGACAAAATTATTCACATCCTTGAATTTTCTTAAACTGACTTAAAATAATATTTACCACTTTTCGGTGCCATTTCTCTTATTTCCTCTGAGCATAGGGTGGCCAGCTCATGGGATACCCTAGTCTTCAGAGGTCTCATCTGTCCTGTCCTTCCAACCGGAAGAAAAGAAGGCTGCATATGAAGGAGTATGAATCCGACCAGACCACAGCGCTGCCCTGTGATGTAATCGGCTAACGAATCTAGCCTTCGGAGGATGTAGCCACTGGATCCGATAAACACCCCATATGATACTAGCATGCCTTCCCTAAAAAACTAATTTTTTTAACAGTTTTAACATTTTTAAAAAAATTTGGTCGATTTGTTTTGTATTTGGATTAAAATCAATTCTCAAAAAATAGAAAATAAATTAGGCAGGATTTTCTTATTTGTGATGACATGTTGTGAATTGCAATCTTCCCTTCATTCGTTCATGCCAGGATGGTCCACATTCCCTGTGTTCATTGGGGGAGAAGCAGAGTGCACCCTGGACATGCTGCCACATGGTTACAGGACAACACAGAGACACAAGACCATACCCAAACAACATAAACACAAGGGGAAATTTTGATTACTTTGCCTAACTATATATTTATTCAACTGTGTATGCACAGGGCAAACATGCCAGATCTATGTGGAACTTTCTTGTTCTTGTTCTGCTCCTTTAGGCAGCACCGAAATTGCCACTATTGAATTCAGTTGAACTAAAATATATTATATGGAATGAGTATGACTATGACCTGGATGACTGAGAATCTTCCTACATATTATACTGATCCATATTTCCAAGGGGTGAGGAAATCATGACAGAAAACTAAAGGGTGCACTTTCTATTTTAATTTTCTATTTTTATACATATTATACATTGAAATCAAATGACACGGTAAGATCGTCTTATGTGCAATTTGTACAGAAAAAAAAAAAATTCCTGCCAGTACTCGTATTTATTTCCAAGACATACAATTCATTAATACCATTTCATGAAATGCTCCATCAGCATTGAAATTTGTGCAGGCCCTTTTGGCACATTACTGAAATTCTTAAGAGTCTGCCAACATGTACTGGACAGACTGGTTAGGAATAGTTTAGCTGATTTAAATAAAACTTAAACGAGCAAAAACCAAACTAAACTGGATCACATAAGTTAGATCTCGTGTTTAATTCCAAATATATCTCAGGTTGAGCTAAAATGATCCAACATGTACTGATGGCCGCTGGGTATCACTGTTCCCTCTGTGGTTTAACATGCTGACATTGGTAGTTTTGTCCAATAATAAAAAAAAATGCTGCGGTTAAAGATACCAGAAGGCCTAAAGTATTCTGCTGATCTTTCCTTCCTTGTGCCACCAGCCCCCAGCCTCAGGAATGCACCAGAATGGGAAGGGAAACAGGAAATGCTTTTGTCTCCCCACAGCACTTCATTCTGTATGAGTGCAATATGTTAAAATACATATTAACATTATATATATATATATAGATATAAATCATTCTATCAACTCACCATTGTTTGGACAGTTAAAAATTACAGTTGAAAGCAAAGACAACAGAGCAGCTCTGACGTATATCATTGCCAAAGTGCGATCCATGTGGACAGCTTGTAATAAATTCAGGAATATTGAATGCTGCTGGTATTTCCTCCCTTAAACCTCTGAAATGTGCCCTATTGTACTTGAAGTGTGTGCGGGACAGCGGTCAGCTTAGCACCATTACTTCCTGTCCAGCTGTTCCTGCTGTCACTGCTTATGAGTGGACGTCTGTATCTTCTCATTGGAGACATGCTGCCTAGGCATTTGCTCACTCACACATTCCCAATTTGCAGCCTGGCTCTAAATCCTGCAGCACAACAGTATGTATTTTCGCTGGGGGGGTTACATTTGTGTTAAGCTCAGTTGGAGCCTGTTTCTGTGTATCTTTCTTTGAGTCTTAGTATAGGCAAGTGTAATGGATCCTTCTTTGGGTGTAATAACACTCTATTTTCACCCATGTGTGCTAGCAGCAGGGGATTTCCATTTTAGAGGATACTTTTACCAAATTCTGAAAAACATCTATATCACATAGCCGTAGTGGTATTTAGAACTGGAGGTTTTCTTAACTATTAAGATTTCTGCTCTGTGCAAAAGAATTGAATGAAGTACAGATAAAGGAAATGAAAAGCAAAAAAGTTGCTTCTATTGGTGTAGATTTGCAAAACATTAGAGCAATCGCAATCATACTAAACAACATTTCCGTTTCAAATTCCAAACTCAAATTTCAATTTAAACTGCCTGATTGTAGTCAATAATTTACTGCTGCAGCTCAATGACTTCTCATGGAGTAGTTTTCTGTAATGATTGCTGGAAACTTTGGCATATCTAAAATCATAAAGGTGTTTTTGCAGTACTGGTTTGAATGTTTTTCAAGATGGACTTAGAAAACATTGCATTAAATGAGGTGAAACTTTTTATGAAAGTCCAAGGACTCCTGGTTTAGATCCAGCTGTGTGAAGGTTTTGCCTTAAAGTCCACGGCTCACAGAGGCTATTAAATGTTAAAGAAACAGGCGCTAAAATGCAGCCTCATTATAGCTTCCTTCAGATGTCACATCAATATTGTATATGATCTCATACAGGAGGGTTTGTCTCAAAAAAGAAGATGTGAAACAAACAATACTCTCTAAACAAGGATCAAACCAAAACTAAAAATATTTTTTGGGAAACTAAAAGCATAAAAAAATGATATGGTGAATTTGTAAACAAATTAAAAAGAAAGTCGTGTTCATATTATTGTAGTTCCATTAATGTAAAAAGAATTTGCCCATTTTAATTATTAAATAAAAAAAGAATGTCCAGCTTTCTTCTGGACGTGATGAAATAAAATAAAAAGACATTTATTTTGTTCTCATGTTTTTTTTCTATTAAATTCTTGCTGTATTTAGCAAAGAATTTAATATGTAAATGTTAATGTTAAATAAAAGCATTTCTGAGTGGATTCAAGTTTACTTTTAAGTAAGAGCCACACAATTGATTTAGCATTATCAGCTATAAAATTAAAGAAAAATCCGAAGTGAAAAATACGTTTTCAATTGTATGAAGATTCTTGAAAACGTAAGTGTTTGCATCTGCATCAACCACCTGATGCAGATCCAGTGTTTTGGACGCGCCCGTTCTAAGCCACAGACATTTTAACGGTATTTTAAAGTTGGCCAATACTTAAAAAAAAAAAAAAAAAAAAAAAAAACATTCTTTGTATTTATTTTAGCCCATAGGTGTCATCCACATTGGGACTAAATAAAGATGTAAAAAGCCAGCTTTGGTTAGCACATGTTATCAACCCAGAACACCTTTCAGCAACATTTCAACATCAGTAGACATCTTAATGTAGGCATGCTTTCATTTTCAATCACATTTTTATTTTTTTTTATTTTAGACAGAAGGCAACATCATCTTTTCTCTCTCTACTGAAAAGAACTTTGCTCAGGGGCAATACAGTTATAGTACAAACCCTCAGCTTTTCTTTCATCTTGTGAGCATTGCATTTAAAGCCATCCCCCATACAGTTTATTTTTCCTTCTGGATGAAAGTGCCAGAGTCGTCACACAGGGTGTAAAGTTCTTCAGGGTCCAACATGTCAACTTAGCCTTAACCCATAAGAGCTTATTACCAAATATCTATTAGTCTACAGGATGTCTGTATGGACTGCCTTATGTGTTGCTCAGAGTACATCTGGATTAACTGTCGTCTCCTTTCTGTTTCTCTTCTAGGAGGCATTTGTGGAACTGTACGACAGACAAAAGGAGTCCATTCTGAGCTGCTACTGGCCGTCCATCAAGACGGTCTTTGGCCTTGCTGCGCTCGGGGCGGCAAGCATCACCATCGGGGCGTACCTTGCACAAAAGTGACAGTCTCTCTCTCTCTCTGTATCCCTCTGACTCCATCCGTTTACTTTTATTTCCCATCGCCCTTCTCCTCTCATTTTCCTTTTTTTTCCTTGTGCCTACTGTTTTCAAAGACGCCCCTGACCCCCTCAGAGACAACCTTCAGACTGAATCCGGCTCTCTTCAAAGCCTCTTTGTGAAAAGTTCTGTTCCTCTTGCCCCCTTCTGTCAGAACAGACACAACTCAGAAAACAGCAAAGGGAACCAGAGGTGCAGCCCAAGGATGCATCTGAGGTGTGAGCACACTAACCCGAGTGAACCGAGGAGGAACAAGGAGTGCATGTCTTTTTCTTTTTTTTCCTGCCTGCTTCTGTGCGACTTTAGAGCATGATCGTTTGAATGGTAAAGTATAGACACAGTATGCAAGGGTGGAACCTGTATAAGGAGGGCTTGGTCATGAAGAAGCAGCAGCAGCAGACACCCCCTCACTTGTTATAGGACCATGGATCCTGTAGGAGCTGCGGACTCCAGTTACCTCCCTACAGCCGTCATTCAAAGCACTTCTTTTGCAGAACAGCTGCTCTGAACGTGTAATGGAAACAGCTCACTGCAGCCAGCACAGCGTGTGTCTACTGTTTTCACTCCTCACACTGCTCAGGTGAACACATTGCACCATTATACACCCTCTCTCTCTCTCTCGATTTGGGTCTGTAATGGAGGAAAAGAAGGCCTGAGCTCGACTCGGCTGAGAGCTCCTTGATTTTTGTGTTTGGCTTTATTTCTCTTGCATGGCAAACCAAATGGGGAGGTTTTTGTTTGTGTGTGTGTGTGTGTGTGTGTTTTTTACAAGGAGTATAAAATAAAGATTGAAGGTATGTTGCCAAGCGTCCTGAGAGGAACATGGAGCTGAGTGCACAGAGAGAATGAGTTAGAGGTAGCCTACAATAAATGTTGCTTTCTGCAGCCTCTGCTATAACAGGACAATTTTAAGACCACATTCCTCAAGCAGTGTAATGTGAAGGAGACCAACCCCCCCCTGTTCATTTTCTAGCTTTTACTATTAGCACAAACAATTCAGAGTTTGTGGTCCGACTGTCGACACGTGCGTCCTCCAGTTGCTGCAGTAATGAATCCGTTCTGACACTGACAGCTGTTGACGTGGACTGAGAAATCTGGTGCGGCCACGTGTGACCGGGTGGAAATCGTGTCAGCAGCATTTCAGCCCCCGCCGCCCCCTTGTCCAGCTTCTGAAAAAACATTGATTTTGTTTTTCTTTCAACCTGTTTTATTGATGTTCGTCTTGTGTTACAGTCTGATGGAAAAAAAAAAAAGTCTTGAAAAATATTTTTGTTGTTTGCAACCTCATAGGTTTTAAATGGAGAGGGGAGTTTAATTTTCTGTCTTAGAAAGTCTCCAAAGTCTGTGTTGCATGGAAGAAAGTCAGACTTAACAGATTAGACGCTCATGATGTGTAACCGTATTTATAACAAAGCTACAGAGAAGAAATAACAACGAATAAAGCTACAACTCTTTAATTTATTTCAAGGTACAAGACTTTCAGAATTAAACTAGTCACTTTTATCTTCCTTCTTCTATGAAATCACACTGTAAACTACATACTTTCCTGGCTGCTAATATAACAATGTGTAGAAATTAATCTTTTTTTGTTGCGTTGATCTTCGGCTTTGAGGCTGCTATACTGTCAAGATTATAATTTTTCCTCACAGCTTAAACTGCCACAAATTTACAGTGTACATGTGTAGAGAGCTGGAAACCAAAGTAAACTAGTAATGATCCAATTCAAAATGCATCATACATGGAGCACAGTGCCATGCAAAAGGGTTTTTCACAGGTATTGTGTTTTTTTAGTGGGAATTTAGGCTAGATAAAGACTAAGTGGTGCACAGTTGTAAAGTAGAAAGAACAGGATCCATAGCTTTCAAATTATTTTTATGAAAAATAAAACATACCTTTTGAAATCCCGATAAAATCACAAACAGTCCTCATTGCATTAACTTAAAATGCAAGGTGTATGGCCTAGAACTGCAATTCTACTGGCAGATTTTGTCGACCACCTACGCTGAAAGGTTGGGCAATAAGAGCATTCATTAAGGAAACAGTCCAGCCTCTTATGTTAACAACGCAAACGTCCCCATAGTTCATTTAGGAGGATCTGTAAACAGGACAGCTTTGGTGTGCTCTCTACAAAGCTGGCCTTTAAGAGATGAAAGAGGCCATTGTTTCAAGTAAGGTGTGAGAAGCATGTAGGAAACACAGCAAAGATACGGATGAAGGTAATCTGGACAGATGAGGACGTAAATGACCTTTGTAGCCTGTGTGAAAATCGTTGCATGTCACAGAAAAATACTTTGAGTTTGGTGATCTGGTAAGAAAAGAGGTTGAGACTGGGTGGGGTTTATGTTAAGGCAGGAAATTAACAGTGGGAATTTCTTCCCTGTTGTAAAAAAAAAAATGTGTTGGCAGCATCATGCCGTGGGCTCTGCCTCCTTTATTTGGGTTAATTTCAATCTGACTGAGCAATAGCTCAATTTGTAAGAGAGAAAGAGTCAAATTGAGGTTTTAGAGACCTGCAGCTCCAACCGCAGCACGCTTTGAAAACCATGCATCACTTTCCTTTCACTTCCCAATTTGGCACTATTTTGGTGAACCTTTAATATCATCTCTCCCTAAAGAAGTGGCTGTAACCCGTCAAAATATGGAGAGTCATTTTGCAAGGCACTGTGGCTTCAGCTCCCTGAGAGGTTTCTGTGTGGTGTAACCGTGCTATTACCGCTTCACTTTCGTCAGCTTCGTGCTCACACAATAACTAACGTGTAAAATGTCAAACGCCAGACCTAAAACTCCTCTTTTTATTAACACAGCTCCCAAAGTTTATTTGGGAGTTTGTGTGAAACAAGAGGCAATTCCTGCACAGGAATATGAAGAACTTAACAGCAATATAGTCATTTTTATATCCTGTGTGCATATATGAATGTAGCACTCTTGTTGCTGTACTGTTTCACTGTCTATACTCTATACAAAAACCTGTAGCACTTATTAAAAGAAAACAGAAAGTGAATTGTGTTCCTGTTGTTTACTGCTATATCCACAATAAGCTAGTGGGATCTTATTGTTCCTAATAAATCTGATTTCTCCAGCAGATGCCGTCTTGAGCTCTGTTTTGTGTCTGTCTTTATTGATTCTCGGTCGCCTCTCAGAAAGTCAACAAGGCATGGAGAGAGTAAGAGCAGCTCAAAGGTGAAGAGTGGTGGATCAGCTACATTCTTTTGATTATCTGTTACATCTATCAGAGCCCTGTGTGAGCCTGATCATGTCAAGGCGACAGTCTCCTTGTGAAGGACTGTGCAGCAGCAGCAGCAGACATCAAAGCTGTCCCCAAACACTGCTGCATTTGTCATCCTTCCCCTCCTCAGCTGCTAAACACCAGAGTATTGAACCCCCTCACCTATATAAATGCCCCCAGGCCAGGTTTTTGTACGCCCTCTTGCCTCTGCTCTGATCACACTTGTCTTCAAAGGCTGAGGCCCTCTCACTGCTCGTTGGATCATGATGCAGTGAAAACTAATGTTGAAAGAGCCGAGTGGGCGCAAGAAAATGAGGGCCAAGTAGCAGAGACTGGAAAAGCAGGGATGGGTGTGTGTGCAGCAATATCCCCGAGGATACCAACTGCAGAGTAAAGTTCATTTGGAGTGAAGACGCCCTCCATCCCTCCTCCTCCTCCTCTCCAGCTCGCACCATGCATATAAAATGCATGACTCGCCCTGAAAACGAATTTTAAATCAGGTCTTGGACTTTCAAAAGCGAGTCCGGTGTGGGTGTGGATTGGGAATTTGTAGGTATAGAAAGTGAGAAAGATGGGCATTGAAGAGGAGGAGGAGGATGAAGATGTGGTGTTGAAGCCCCCCCTTCCCCTCCATCCCCTCCTTCTGCTTTAGGGCTACAAGGTGCGAAGGAGGTTTTCCCAGAGCTGCATATCACAGGGGAGAATAGGAGATCAAAGCAGATTGTCAAGAGGAAGCCTGGTCCTGTTTTACCCCTCATTTGGTAGTCCATCTGATCTTCGCTCCCTCCTCAAATTAACAGCCTTAAAAACTTCCTGTGAAAATCTCTTTAAATTGATTTAACAACTTGGAAACCATTAAAATAATGCTGAACTGTAAATATTAGAAAAAAAAATAGAAAAGAACCTTACACCAGGATGGGAACAGCTTACAGGGGTGGACTTAGCTGCTGAAGGCGTGTGCTACAGTGTCACCTTGTGGATGATGATATGCAAACACATAATATTTATTTGGATTAACTTCTATGCATTTTAGCAGCCCTGAAGGGGTGAATCACAGAGGACAAACTTCCTCAGAATAATAATAGGACATTTCCTTTCTTTAACCCTACAGTTCAAATGTATATTTCAAATATAATTCTGTTAGGTTTTGGCAAAAAAACAGAAAAAGAAGGAAAAATATTGAGCGTTTACCAACCACAGTTTGGCAAAATATGAGTCACTGAAACATCTTTAGGACTGTGTGCTATGAGTAAGGCTGATAGCTCAACAGCTTGACTGCTTAGCTGTCAGTAGCTGGCGAAGCATCGACTCCATCAGAGAATCTTTATCTCTTGATACAGTAATCTGCAGGACAAAGACGACTGGGGATGAGTCTGTGTGGGGTGTCTGCCAGCTGAAGCTGCCTGGCATCAACACCCAAGATGTGTTCAAGCTATGAAAGGATAGGAAACTCTGAGAACATGCAGTGTGATGTTTGTCTACATTAGTGTTGGGATGCTGGGTAAATATTTCTCTACATAACAGAGTAATAATTGTTAATCCCACTAGAGGAACACTTGATTTGTCTGTTTTTGGATTTTAATACCCTGACACACTGAGTCCAAATACCAGTTTTATGTATTTTTTCCCACCACACATATTAAAAACTTTCATGATATGAGAACAACTCAAAAAAGCAATAAGATATAAACCTAATTTCTGAACTTTTCTGTTCTTACCCTTTCTTAAAAGATCCCAGGACATTTAAAAAAATCCCCTTTCCTGTCAGCCTACCTTACAATAAATGAACCACTTTGGCCGTAAAAACCTCTAAAAAATAAAATAAAAGAAAGCAGCAGCCTAAAGAAAACTGACTGTGTGAAAATATAGCTCACTGATTTCATTATCAGCAGCCACACCTGGGCCTAAAGAAACCGCTAAACTGAACCTGTCTGACAGCATGAAGTAGGCTAAATGAATTTAAAAGCAAATATAAATCTAGAAACTTTGTAATATTCATAAACCCTAAAGATTATTTTCTGAAATGTTGAAAAAAATTAAAACAGATGAAAACTTAGCGAGTGCAGAACATTGGCCCCACTGCTAAGAAATTACCCAATATTATTTACGCTATTATGCTTGCACTGATGAAAATACCCTCACCTTAGCATGCTAAATGCTTAAAGTAATTGGTGTGGCAGGGTAGTTGGAGATGACATTTGAATTGAGAAAGCTTCCTGGGGGTGAAAAGAAACGTCTTCAAACCTCGGAAAGCAAGTCCAGTGGATTGTTTATAAACTTTTACAGAAAGATTGTTGGAGATATTAACTTCCACCAAGGAGGTCATGATTTTAGGAGATTTGTGTCTGTCTGTCTGTGTACAGGATAACTGTATATATTAATTACGGCTACCAATGCTGAGCATCTATACCTGCTGTATAACTGTTCTATATGAATTTAATTGAAATTATCATTTAATCAGAGGTGTCCGTCATGCCAATGAAAAATCAAAACTTTGTTGATGATCCAGATCATAACTGGACACAAGATTTTTTTTAAAGCATTCTTTAATATGGGGATAGTGATTTATGCAGGAAACAAACAGATCCTCCCCTAAATCAGAGGGCAGCAGTGACTATTGACCGTTTCAGCATCAAATTAAAAAAAGTCATGATCCATACGAGTTTTAGCTATAGGTGTAAGTTACAATATGAGGCAGAATTTGCTGCCTGGTGGAGGTCTGCGCTCTCTGAGCGCATTTCTTGATTCTAATGATTTCAACTCATACACTTAAATAAGCTCATTGTAAAAGGAAGCTCTTTATTACTTTAGCGATAGTTTCAAGGTGTTGCTTTATTGTNTTGCTATCCCCTAAACAAAAATCGCAAAGTTAATCTGCATAATAGATTGAATGCAGACCAATCGCTTTAACTGTATCAGCAATGTCCTGTCAGCAGTGATGGACAAGGTACTCAACTGTACAGTAGTACTTGAGTAAAAGTATTGATACTCATAGTTAAATCTTACTCAACTACAAGTAAAAGTTACTTAGTCAAACATCTACTTAAGTTAAAGTATTACTCACTTTTGGAAATACTTGGATTTAAAAGTAGTTGAGTATTCAAAAATAAAATAAAATTTCCAATTTTGGCACATTTCTTTCTAATTTCCAGAGCAATTTTAACCTTTTAACTTTCATGAACCACCTAATTTATCGATGCATTGAAACACTGCTACAGATTCTAACTTTCAGCATAAAAATAGCACAAAATATAAGGACTGCTATTTTGATTATTATTTCTCATTTAAAAACAAACTAAGAAGAGAAATGGAGCATCTTGATTCTCCTCATACTATGGAATAGATATTTAAGGTTGAATCTGTAACCACAAACAAACTACAACTTTGCTTTGTGAACTCTTCCCACATGGCAACCACTAATGCCTTAATAAAACTAATAAACAACAAATATTATCTGCCATAAGATATGAGAGATTTGTGGAACGTCATGCAAATTTCTACAACAATGGTGTCCAAATGTAGTCCTAAGGGGTACTATCTACCATGTGGAAATTGCATTTCAAGAACAAAAAACAGCAACAGTGGAACTTCCTCAAAATGTCATGGAGTAGAACGTATAATATTTGACTATGAAATGTTGTGGAGGGAAAGTTATAAGTACTTCCCATAAAATGTTCAAGTAAAGTAAAGATACTCAAAAAAAGCAGTTGTACTTTGTTATTTCCAGTGCTGCCTGTCAGCAACTATATATCATCATAAAGGACTACGTATTTGTGTAACTGATGTATTATGTATGTATAGATTTTTAAAATTTCAATTAAATTCAATTCAGTTTATTTCTATAGCGCCAATTCACAACACATGTCATCTCAAGGCCCTTCAAAGTTCACCAGATCATACAATCAAATTGATTCAAAGTTTTCTATCTAAGGAAAACCAGTTGATTGCATCGACTCACTGACTCGAATGCAATCCCTCACACTAAGCATGCTTGTAGCGACAGTGGAGAGGAAAAACTCCCTTTTAACAGGAATAAACCTCCAGCAGAAACAGGCTCAGTGTGAGCGGCCATCTGCTGAGGTCGACTTGGGTTCAAGGAGACAGAAGCAGAGATTCAAAAAGCAGCTGTAAAAGGCGGCCCCGTCCAGGAAACACACAGCCAGGCAGACGAGCTCCGAGCCAGCTCCCATGTCAGTAACTACAAGGTTGAGCCTGAATAATGCACAGATAAATACTAGATGGATGTTGACAACTTGCAAAGAATAATAAGAAAAGTAAAAAGGGACAAATTACTCGGCTTTTAGAGTACATTCAGTGTCTGTTTATTTTTCTGCTCCCAGAAAAATAGAAAAAGTCAAAACAAACATTCATTCTGCTGAAGTGTAGTTTGTCATGCTTTGCACATTTACAGTACATTTTGATTCGATACAAAGTCTCTCTGAATTAGACATACTGCCACAATATATGTACAAAAATAACATTCAAACTGAAGTATCTTTAGATATGTTAACACATTCATAAAAATAAAGCTTTCTGTGACGTCATCAGAGAACAATCTCATTTACACAAGAATGAGATGAGTCCTGTTGCGATCCAGCTGACACACACCAGCAGCTCCACCTGTTTGTGTGAAGCTTCCATAACAGCCGGGAATAAACAGTATAAATGACTTTTTAACCCCTAAAAAGTAAATGTTTCAATCTTACGTTTATATTACAAAAAAAAAAAGCACTCGAGTCACACAGTGAGAAACTAATGCAAAATGCTGCACAAAAGGCACAAAAAACTGCGCACTGAGTGATTTTATGTTGGCATTGGCAACGGTTCTCCTTGCTGACAGCAGCTGTCCAATCTCTGTGGATGAGGATGTAGTTGTGCTGCTAAAACACTTTGGTACAATGGATGTTAAAGTATCAAAACGTGACTAAAGTATAAAAAGTGTAGGATGACAGCTACATGATTTTAACTACTTAAAGCCCAGATCAATCTGAAAATGTTCTCCATTTCCCATAAGGTTGTTGCATTCATCGGCGTGTGTTTGCATATTGGTTTGTAATGCGTGTGCATTGGATCAGTGTTTAAACTGGAAAAAGAAAAAAAAAAAAAAGAGAGAGAATCCATTCCTCAGTGCAAAAAAACTTCACTCCACTTCACTCAGCTGCACATGACTTTTCCGAACCGCTCCAGAATTTCCACATCAGCTTCAAACAATACAACTTAAGCTGTAGATGAATTCACTTCGCCCACTAAAGCTGATGCACCACAAACTCATTCAGTCAGGTTCTCCTCCTTACAGGCATCTGCAACGACAGCAGCAGAATGTAGGCATGAACATCGATCGGAAATTTAAAGATTTGTCAGTTTCCTCAATAAGAGTATAACAATCATGCATGTAAATATTAGACGCACCAATCAGGCAAAATATTAGCACCACTAGTGGAACATTGTTTAATGCATTCAGCAGCATCACTACAACACCAATGCAAAATAGAGACACAGCAGAGACCTGGACTGTCCAAAACTGCTGGGTTGGATTTTAAAGTTGGTGGTTCAGGCCAAACGAGAAGCTAAAACTAATTTGAAAGCTGAAATAAACGTTCTGTACTTTGGTGTGCTTTTTGGGCAAACTTCCTCGTTATCTTGTCCTGTAGGAACATAATGTTTCTGCACGGATAAACAGGGTGGGGGTCCTGCAGACCTTTACACTTTATCGTTCATCTGGTTAAACCTCATTACCCAGAAGCCCAGACCTCCCCTGGCCTATTTGCTTTTTGACTGGGCTGCCATTTATGGACTCAGTGTCCTCTGTATGAACGGTACTCCTTTGAAACAACATCTTTCTAGGATGCTGCAGTCAGGATGTTGGACAACAGAAGAGCAGGCACCAAAAGGTAAAAAAAAAAAAAAATCCTTGCGATTTTCTACAACATATATAAAGAAACTACAAACTGACTTGTTCTTAATGTGTTTCCTTTAAATTCGTACCCGGAGGAATTTGAGCTCCAACAGAGATAACCAGGAATTACACTTTAAAACAATGGAAATCTAAATAAGTCATTTTTTCTTAAAATATGTGTGTTTGTTCTTGAATTGAGGAGGAAAGTGAGAGACTTTGCAAATGGAATTAGACAGTTTACATTTAAAATAAGAAGAATACAATTGCATTGTCTTATTTCAAGCGCATTTGATCTTATTTTAAGAGTAAAACTACTCTTTCCATTGGCAAATCATCTTATTTACTAGGGTTAATAAATTTGAGAAAGAAATTTTTTACTTATTTCTAGATCATTTTGCAGTGATATCACTAATTCCTTCACAATGATTAGACTATGAGACTAAATCAAATTACACCCATGTTCATTCTGCAAATTCCCACAAGGTTTTGCTTTCAAATTGTAAATAACTATTTCAGCAATGGTTTAAAACCATATAATATCACGTTTAATAAGAGTAGAAATATAAATAAATATAAATATATTTTAGATGGCAAACATAATGCAAATGAAAATGCAAACTTCCTCAAACATTTCCCATGCAAAAAAAATAAATAAATAAATAAATATTCAGTGTAATACATTTTAAAACCCTGAGACCATTTCCAGCAGACATGATTTTTGGAAGATTCACTGCAAAGAGGAATTTCTCTAGTTTTTAGGACGGGAGGAGCCCTTAAAACTACTCTGATTCCTGAAGAAGCAGCCGGGACGAAAATGCAAGGCAATTAAGTTTTATGCTATTGCTTCCCAATTCTTGAGCACCAAAGGCCAAAAAAATCCAAAAATAGAAGCAGCAGTTTGTAAAAAGGAGAAAATTATTTAAATTAATCCAAAACAACTCAACTAGAATTACATGAAAACAATTAAAAAGACTGTACTTTAGCCAAGTTAGTTTTTTTTAAATGGAGCCCCAGACGCTGCTGTAGGGTTTGGTTAACAGAGCTGATGGATCCTGTGTTGAATTAATGAGTGCCTGCATGCACACGTCTTCTTCGATGTGCATCGCACCAACTCTGATCTGATGGGCTTTAAGGCCCCGTAGAGCTGGTTAAAATTCAGCTAGCTTGTTATTTTCTTCTCGAGCACGTCAATGCCAAACATACTGCGCATCAAAGGGCAGCCTGCGATAAACAAAATGCAGCCATGGACGCTACAAGCTTAAACCTCCGGGAGCAGAATTCTAAAAATGGGAATGGTTATTTAGCAAGAGAGAAACTATAAAATCCATCAGTTATAGATGTTTTTTTAAGAATTTATTTCAGTAAAATGCAAAGAGTTAAGTTGCGTGTAAAAACAATTAGCACTTCTGTGCAAAACACGATCCAGCAGGACAAGCAGAAAGTGGGCAGGTACCATGCCTCCGACAGGCCATGAGTCAAACAGGTGCTATTCCTACCTGGGGCAGGGTTAGAGCATTGGTGGCTAGGGGAAAGCTCGGGGTCCGGAACAATGGGAGGGAAGGGGGGGGCAATTACGGCTACCAATGCTGAGCATCTATACCTGCTGGGCTGAGCACCAGAGCCTGGAGGATGTCTGAAAGGGAAATAATGCCCTCAATACTGGAGCGCTCATCCACCACCACCAGCCGATGGACCTGAAACAAAGGAGATGAAGCCTCAATCAGTTTCAGGCCGTTTCTGACTCACTAAATGCAGAAACGGGGCTTCGTGTCTCACTTCTGCTTTGACTATTCTGTCCACAATGGTCTCCATCGTTTCCATTTTGTGGCACTTAACGACTCCTTCAAAGTACTGCGAGCGATGTTTCAGGGCCTGCGTCACGCTGATGTCCAAGTTATTGTACGTCTTCTCTGCAGCCAAGTTCTGCAGCAGAGGGAGGAAGAGTCAGAACAAGGGCAACTAGCACGGGAGAAGCATACCTACAAGAGTATACTTACAATTACATCAAACTTGGAATAAATATCAACAACTTTGCCTGCAAGAATAAAAAAATAAAGAATTGTTAGGCCAAAATCCAATATGATTATTAATAAAAAAGGTTTTGATCAGTTGTGATTTGACCTGAGTCATCCACCACAGGCAGAGCAGATATTCGTCTCTCCACAAAGATGTTGAGTGCTTTAATGATGGGCGTGTCAGGGTGGATAAAAGCAATCTCATGGTACGTTCCGATACCCAGCTCACCTAGGGTCTGCTTCATGAAAGCTGGCTTTGGCATTTCGCACATCTGGGCATTAAAAAAAAAGAAAGAAGAATGACCTAAAAGAAGGAAAGTAGACCCACTGAACACACCACATATTTCTAATCTAATCAGAACCAAAAATGGGATTTCTTCAAAAACAAAAGAATCAGAGGTGGACAATCCAGCTTCAGACACTGAAAGTGCACTGAGAAGATTTTCAGCCATATGTTTTTCCAGCTCCATAACAAAGTCAGTTCCAATATGAGCTCACCTGGAGCTCTCCATAGCTTGACTGCATGCTGGAGCAGTAGTTTATTCATTTACCGTAATTTAATGTATAAGACACACCTGAATATAAGCCGCAGACGCTAAATTGCATGATTTGTACATATACAAGCCGCACCAGACTATGTTATGTTTAATTACCATATGGTTCGTGCACAGAGAGGATTGTCGGGAAAGAGGCAACTGTTTGGGGGAGCTCCTATTTATTAACATTTCAACACAATTGAATTGAGAGAATTCTTCCTGCTGGCGTCTCCAACATCTCGCCATTGAACTCTTGATTCCAAGGTTACCTGCAGCGGTTCCATTTCCTTCGTTTACTGCCAAATTGACTGCCTTTAACTTAAAAGCTGCATCATATGCATTTAAACGTTTGTTTTCCATAATGAGTGTGTCACACAAACTGTCTTGCGCTCGCAATGTCCGTCTTCCTCGGAGGCTGCTTCCGGAGGACGCTCGCATTCCTGCACGCTCAGTTACTTGTGTGTGAAGCAAATGAGACTTCAACATGGTGGATGGTAAAATCCATAGATTTAGGTACCGTATTACCCTATTGGCCGTTAACCGTAAAAGTCCAAAGATAAGCTGCATTGTTATATAAGCAAGGTTGAAAAATGGTTGAAAAAATGGGGAAAAAGTCACGGCTTATAGTACGAAGATTACGGTACTTATTAGGGCAAGAGATACATCTAAATGTTGTTGGACAAGTTTTGAGTTTAAGACCCCTGGTTTAAAATTTATATTTTCCTTACCTCAGCAAATAAAAAATAAAAAAAATAAAAAAAGAGTCACTGTTAAAGAATGTAAATAGGAAGTTAAGTGGAAGAAAGAAATGCACTCAGAAATGCAGCAGAAGCAACAGGGATAACCATTGCTATTAGATGAGAGCCCAAGATGCTGGAGGGAGAGACTTCCAAACATAGTGATGATTTAAGGAGCCAAGTCATGTGCTGGTGTTAGTCCACTATGTTAGCTCAAGGATCTAAAACACATTTGCACCAGTATTTAATGATTTAAAAGTGACAATGGATTTACATTTACAAAAAAAAAATAAATAAATTAGAACTGTAAGTTTACTGTCATTTTTACTCTTTTTCAAGGCTGCACTTTGAAAAAAGATGAAATTGTCCAAAATTTTTGTCCAAATTTTTTTTGTTTTACACACGTGTAAACAAAATGACAAATAAAATCTGTCTAAGTCTAACATAGTGTAAAATGCAATCTGTAAAAATACTAAAAATATAGCACTATAGCCCAGGATGATTTCCATCCTCGGTCTCCTGCCGGGACCAGCCCAGACACTCCGCTCCTGCAATATTTGTATTCTGTTGTTAAAACAAGGATTAAAATACATCTCGCCTCCGAAACCCCCCCAAGAACATCCAGATCTATTATAGATGCTGGAATAGAGTTCCAGGTTTAAAAGCATGGTAGGAAAATACTGCCTATCCAGAGGAACCTACTTAGATTGAATTAAATATTCTCCTCTGGAACTCGCTCTTCTTGATCTGTCTTGATTCTAAATAACTAATTGTTGCAAGGGAAAGGGTGCTAATGATGAGCTTTATGGAGAAGCGGATCTGTTCTTCTTATTGTACTCGTTAGCTGTCCGCACTGTCAACAATACCAATGCCTGGGTTAATGATTCCATTAAACCCCCCAAAAAATGCTTAAAAAAAGTTAAATGTTCTATCTCTGTTTAATGCCAAAATTTATTTCACTTATTGCACTGAATTACTTAAATTAACTCTTTAATGAAACTAAAATTTTTCAAGCTGCACCTGCAGAGTATTGATCAATTTTCACATTGACCACAAGGGGGAGCCAAGCATATGAGACTGAGACACAGCAGGAGGAGAGAGCAGGGAAAGTTTAGAGTCTGACTAATTCAGCTCTTAGAGAATAACTGTAACCTTGTGAATGACACATGAACAAAGAGCCTTTTTTTTGGACTTACAAACAGCTGGAGAAACTTTAGGATCCTCTTATGTGTGAGAATATAAAGTGCATTCCCTGTAACAGGGTCGATGACAGGCAGGCGGTGAATTTTATTTTTGATGAGGGTGTATACTGCATCAAACAGGCTGGAAAAAAGGGAAAACAAAAGAAACGAGTCACAACTGCAGCAGTTCAAGATGAACAAATAAAAACAATGAAAGAAAATGTTTAACAGGAGGACGTTTGAAGAGAACCTTGCTTCTGGTGATATGTTAACAAGAGGTTTAAACGTTGCTTGAAGATAAACCTCTGAGAGTAAGAAGAGAGAACAACAATGGGTTATTAAACTCTTAGATTGTAAGAAAGTTAGAGCAACAGTTGAAGGTACTTACCTCTCCACGTCTCAAGCTTGTGTTCCTCTAACTCATAAATTTGCACCTAAAAACAACAAACCAATCTCAATTAAAAAATTAAGGACCCAAAGGAGAATATTTAAAGGTAATCTGTCGATGAAACCCACCAGTGGTGATTTATAGTATCTGTGCAGTATGATGATGAAATCTGTGATTGTCAGCATTCCTGCAGTGAAAACAGATCAAGTCAATAAACACCTCGGAGCCAACCCTGCAGGCACAGTGCAGATGAAACGAGGGCGTGGTTCATTCAGCACAGCGCTGCTTCCCCCTTTGCTTGTTGACTTGACATTCATTATTCATCAGAGGCCGTCCAGCAGCAAAGCTAAAAACAAACTCAATCCTCAACCAGCTCCCCTGACTCCACAGAACAAAAGATGTTACTTTATCGTTTCTACACTCACTATAAATGAGTCATCGCTGTGCTTTAATAGCTCGATGCTGCTTCGACTCAATAGGGCGTCATGGTCTGCAAGCTCTGACCATCAACACACAGCACAGCCTCGTTGTTAATTTATAGCAAACCAGAACAGCAATGACATTTTCCAGCTTGGTGAAAGGAAATAATTAAAAGATCCAAATGAGGCTTAAATAATATATAGACCTAAAGGACAAGAGACAGTTTTCATTAATGTTTTAATGCTGCTTTCTGTCCTCCAGTGAACTAAAATAAATGTTTGCAAGGAGCAAAAGGCATCCATATTCCATGATGAAGTTTTAACAAAAACACATTTTCTCCACCTCAGCCAGAAAATCCCCTCCATGCAATCATTTAAAGGTTACTTATCGCAAGTCTAAGGACACGTATTATATTCTTACTAGGGCTGCAACTAATGATCATTTATTTTCTTATCGATTAATCTGTTGATTATCTTTTCATTTAATCTGTTAATAATCAGAGCGCAACAGGTTCTTAAAAGAAGATTTTTTACAGATTCAAACCAAACGAAACTAAAACATTTCTACTTGAGGAGTTATGGATAGAACATATTGACAGATGAAAACCTCTTAATATTCTCTCCTTTTTTACATACCCAAATGGAAAAGCAAATAATTTAGGAACTGTAAGCCCAAATTATATATATATATATACTGTAAATTCTCTAATATTGGCCTGTATTCCAATAGCGGCCGGGTCTCTAATATTGGCCGGTCTTGCTGTCAGAGGAGGTAAATAATGGCCGGTCTCTAATACAGGCCGGGGCTATAAACGTTTTTTCTGGGCATACCTCAACATTATACTTGTGGTAGTAAC